CTCTTAACCAACTGAGCCACTTGGCCATCCCCACCATTGGCTTTTTAAAGGATTTTTTTTTTCTAAAGAAGCGACCCTGGCTTACATATGAAGGAAGTAAAGAAAAATGAAAATGAAAAATGTACATCAAAAACCTGTGATTTCACCAATGTTTGAGAAGGCTGATTCACTAACGATGGTCAATTGCAAGTGAATGATAACAGCTGTTTGAGTGAAATAGATCAGGATGCTAGAAGGTGAAATCTAGAAATTCTTTATTTCTAGGTGAGTGACAGAATATTAGCATTGATTACTTTTTCTGGAAACAAAACAGAATAATGTAGTATACAGGCCAAGGCAAGAGAAATCTCAACTATATCAAGTGCTGTTGAAAGGTTAAGATGAGGACAAGTGATTCTGATAAGGAGCAGTTTCAATAAGTAGTTGCCATGGAAATCAGACTATAATAAATTATTGTAAGCAACTCCTTAGAGGAATTTTACTGGGAAAGGCAAATTGAGAAATGGATGATTACTGAAATAGAAAGTGGAGTTCAAGGTGTTTTTTTCTTTTAAGATGGGAGCTTTTAGAGTATGTTTGTATATTGTTGGAAATGATCCAATAGAGAAGGACATGTTTATTAAATATAATTTGTAATTCCAAAGAATTAGAAAACTTGTTGATTGCATTGCATTATCTTTTAATGGTAAAATGGTAAACTAATCTATCCATAGTTTCATGATAAGAGATTGGTCATTTAGAATTGTTCTCACAGTGGAATATTCTCATATATTGAATATGCAGATGATTACTTAAAAATTATACTGTCATATACAGATTTTTTAAAATTATATAATAATAAATATATAAACATTGAAACCATACTGAATAGAATTTAATTATTCCTTAATGATTCTAGATATTTTAGTACCTTTGTCAATATTATCATGAATAGCTATGATTTTGCAAGGTATTCTAAAGTATTAGGTTATATTAACTTAAATGTTTTTTAGATTTGAAGAAAGGTCCCCTGCTTCTTTTATTAAATAAGCTCAAGCCATACATTATAAAATGGCCTCTGTCTATCACCGCCCCCCCCAAGCTTTAGCTACCTGGAATCAGTAGCTGAGCTGTTCTCGGAAATCATGTGCATGCGAATAATAGGACATAAAATTATAGCCTTAGTGTCTCCACTTCTGTAATTCTACCTTGCCTCAGTTTACCCTGCGCCAATAGGAGCCCAGAAAAACCCAAGAGTTCCTCTGAAGGCCCCATAGCTCCACTTCCCTTATAGGTAATCTCTGCCCAGCAACAGTAACAGGATATATCTAGCTAATGCTTAAAACAGTCTATATTAATAATTAAAAGTTGTACTAATAATAAGGTTAGATATTCATATAATCCTGCTATCTTAGCTTCTGTAATAATGCTTTGCTGGGACTGAACACTTATCCTAACAAGGGACCCCAACCCAATAATAGAGGGGTCTGGGGTCTAAGAGACATTCCACCTACAGCTTCAACATTACTTGGGAATCTTTCCACTTAGACATGTCTCCCATGCTTGGAACTTCCTCATTTAGATCTGTTGGTAGTTTCTGTATAACTCAATGGAATTTTCTGCCTCAATGTACCTTTGTGGTTTTTGCCTTTATAAACCCTACCAAACTTCCCTTCGGGGCTGCGAGATCTTTAGAGGCACTAGCCCACTCGTAGCCTCTGGCTTTTTAATAAAGACTCCTAATTTGGCACAATTAATGTCGTTGTCTGCCTAACTTGCGAGCTACACTTTATAACATTTGGAGGCCCCAGCAAGATCCAGGCAGCAACGCCCCAGGCATCCAGCACTCTCTGCATCGGCTACCCGGTGACCGGGATTTCCAGGGGAGGTGCCACCTGAGACGTTTCAGGGCCCCAGACTTTACCCCCGCCTTCCTGGTAGCCATGCAGCGACCACTGTTGATAGCCCCCAAGATTTTCGGAGTCTCTCAGTTCGCCTCCAGAGGTAAGTGAAGTTTCATCACTAATCTGGTCTGGGGTCGGGCATTTGGGACCGGCCATCTGTTCTCGGGTCGGTCATTTGGGACTGGCCATCTGGGTTCGAGTTAGAGGACCGGACGTGGTCTTATCGGCCACTCCCCCTCTCCGAGACGTCGTGGGTTGAGCTGGAATCTGGATGGGCCCTGTCTTCTATGTGTTTGTTAGTCTGTTTAGCAAAACTTGGTTCTGGTCTGGTTAATTGGTGCCAAGGGTTGTTGCACCTTGGTTCTAGTAAAGGAGCGCACAGGGGGTGCACCTAATATTTAACAAATGCCTGTCACATGGTCCCTGTCTTTTATTGTCTTTTTAATCTGTTTGGTAAACCTGGTATCTAGATAAGTCTTGTATGGACCATGTCTCTTTGTTGTCCTTTTTGTCTGTTTGTCCACCGTCTTGTTGTTGACTTCCCTTGGTTTTCCCCTGAGCCCAGTCTTATCATGATATTGTAGATTGGCTTTTAGATAATTATTTTCAGGGGACGTTACCACGGGATCTAAGGTTTCAATCCCTTCCAGGAGTCCACTGGGCAAAGTATTAGGCCATTGGAAAAACTATAGCTATATAAGCTGTTGACCAAAAATAAATTAATGTTCTATTACAGTACTGCTTGGCCAATGTATATATTTAAATTCTGGAGGGCGCTGGTCGCTCTATAGTTCATTAAGTTGTACCATTTTGTAAATAAAATTATTCTGTCAGAGAGTCTGGAAAATAAGATAAAATTTCTCATGTAATAAACCTCTATAATAAATTTTAAAAAGGGAACTAAACTGATAGTTCAGAGAAAAGGGGACTCCACCTATCTCCTCACTTGTAACCAGGAATGCCTTAGGCTGAGATAATGGAAGGAATAAAAAGAGACACTTTTATTTATTTTTTATTTTTATTTTTTTTTAAAGATTTTTATTGGGGAATTGGGGGGATGGGAACAGTGCTGGGGAATTGGGGGAAGGGGAACAGACAAGTTGCTGTCGTTTTGTTCTTCAATCTAGTTGTGGAGGGTGTTGCTTCACTGGCCCAAGTTGGCACCATCATTGCACTCTTCTCTCGTGAGGCAGATCAGTCGCCGGCTTCTGGACGGCCGCTCACTGCGGCTGCTGGCCGCTCACGCTGGCTGCTGGCCACACACGGTAGCCCATGGCAATCCACTGCCACAGGGACTGCAGCCCACGCCGTCGCCGGCGACTCAGGGCAGCCCAGCTCCAGGTTGAGCTGTTGTTCAGCATCTTAGCTGTGGAGGGCAGTGTCACTGGCCCTCATATGTGGGATCCGAACCGGGGCCCTCTGGCATCCCAAGCGAGTTCTTAACCATCGCGCCACTCGGCCGGCCCAAAAGAGACACTTTTAAAACCAAGCAGCTAAGTTCCAAGCCAGACACCCAGCCCTTGTTCCAGCCTCTTTGCACTTGTAGGGGTAATTATAAGATCTTAAAAACTTCTCTACAATTATTAATAATTCTGTTTATATATATATATATATATATATATATACAATCTCTAATATTCATGCTTATCTGTATTTTATATATAATATAATGTTTTTGCCTCTGGATAGTATTGTCAGATTATATTTGATTGGCTTAAAAATTAACTCAGGTACTTTTCAAGATCATATATTCTAAAAAGTGTTTGATACTAAGGTCGGTTTAACTTTCGGTTACATAAATATGTCTTTTAAGGTTATTAACATTAAATATAGTATCTTCTATTTTACCTAAGTTTACAGAAATAAATTCATGTTATCTTTCACAAAATTTGTCAAAAATAAGGTTTTAGATAAAACTTTTCAATAGTAATTATATAATATGTATGCTTGGATATAGTTTTTCAGCATCTGTTGGTAACTTAAGATTTTAATTTTACTAAGTTATGTTAAATGATAAAAATTATTAAATATCTAGGTGTTTCAAGGTAATGAAATACTAAAATATTAATTATTAGATTCTGGGGAAAATGGGGAAGATTTTGTATATGTACAATAGAAAAATAAATATTAACAATCTATCTCAGATTACTACTTTTGGATTAGTTCTAAAGTATAAAAACCATGCTTTCTGTTACCAACAGTGTCATTGACACATACTGTGTGCACACAACTGTATGTGGAATGAGTGAATAAAGAGTTGAATGGGTGAATAAACAGACATTTTGATGAATTTGTTTAGAAAAACAAATCTTTAATTTATTGAAAGAATATTTCTAATATTGCCTAGGTATAAAGTCTTTTCATTTAAAAAAATATTCAGAAATTATTTTTAATTATAGCTAGAAATAAAATAATAATATAGATTCATTTGCTATCATAGCACTTAAAAACACTTAAAAATAAATATTAACGTACTTTCTCAGCATAGTGTGAAACACAGGTTTTGAAGCCAGATGTCATGGGTTTGAATTCCGGGTCTGCTGTTGACTAGCTGTACCGGCTTGGGCAAGTTGCTTAGCCTTTCTGAGCCTCATTTTCTTCATTTAAAAATACCTAATATACTGCCTACCTCCCATAATTTTTGTGAGGATTCAAGTGCCCATAAAACACGTAAAGTGCTTATAATAATTCATAATAGTTGCATGGTAAGTCCTCACAAAGCTAATATCATGATGATTTTAAAAAGGGTTTCTCATATAAGGACTTAAGTAATGCTTTCCAAATAGGTCTCAGTGCCAGTAAAAGCTTGTTTTTATTGAAAATGACAATAAAAACTCTGGTATGTTATTTTTTTCTATTAAATAATGCAAGTAACGACCATTATGTTTTTGTGTGTGTTTGTTTTGACTGTGAGCTTGATCTGAAGCAATACTTTGGGTTAATATTATTGGTAGTATATTTTCTTTTTCCATAATGTTATTCTTTCTATTTATTGCTTAATCCCCCTTATAGAAAATTAATTAAAAATGCACAGATTTTATATAAGAAACAGTTAGGTTTAGATATGTTTTCTATTTTAAGTATTTAATATTTGCCTGTAAATAATTTGTTTTTTAGGTCAGCAAAGAAAACTAATGAAGAGAACAAGGTATTGTGAAAGATAAATTATCAAAAATATCTTCTGTAGTAAAAACTATGTTATAAAATATTTAGTGAAAAAATGGAAAATCTTCCCTTGTTGTAGAAACATTTACTTTGAAAAAGCCATTTAGAATCACTAGTTATTGATAAAGGTAACTTTTTGATAAAAATCAATTCTTTTAAGAATACCTGTGTTTTTGCTTTAATAAAAAGGTGGGTATTTATCTCTTCCGTACACTTAGTATATTTATAAATATTGTGGGGACATTTTGAAGTGCAGTATTATTCATTTGTAGGTTAAAGAGCAAATTAATTCCATGGATGACCTTGATGACTTAACTCAGTCTTCTGAAACAGTTTCAGAACATTGTGAGTTGCCTTACTCCAATTATCAGAATTCCATGTTGCTAATTGAACAACTTGGCATGGATTGTAAAGGTAGGACCATTGTAAAAATATAAAGCCTTTGTATGTATACTGCAGTAATATATGCACCCTTTGTCTAGTACTGCTCCATAGAGTACTGATGTTTTGTAAAACTGTTAATCTGAGATCTGTTTCATATTAAAATAAAACGGGAGTGATTGTATACCCTCAGCTAAAGAGCTATGATAATTACCACAGTACTTTTCTCAGGGTGAATGGCAACACCTAGTGTATTTGTTGACTTTGCCTCTCTCTTATGCCATCACCCAAGGTCAGGTTACCATGATTTCCCTGATGGAATACTGATACAACCTCAGAATTGTTCTCCTTGCCATTTTACCTCCTGGAACCTTGGTGTACATTGCAACCAGAATTATTATATATTTAAAAAATTTCAGATCTCATCATGTTACCCCTTTACTTAAAACCCAGCTATCACTTCTCTTTGCTATAAACAAGGTGAAAGGCCACAATCCTCTAGCTTTATTTTGTATGATTTCACATCCTTCTTTCTGTCTATGTCTCAGCCACTGCCTGATACATTTTTTTCCTGTAATAGAGCTTTTTGTTTCCAACAGTGGTGTTTAGGTAAATCACACACATATGAATCATATAATTTGATACTTTTGACATCCATATACACATATGAAGCCATCACCACAATCCAGAGAAGTAACATATCCATCACCCCTAAAAGTCTCCTCATGCCTCTTATATCCCTTAGTAAGAGACTGCCAAATTGTTTTGTAAAGTAGTGGCACCATTTTCCATTCCCACCAGCAGCATATAAGAATTCCAGTTCCTCTGTATCTTCATGGACATTTGGTATTGTCAGTTTTTAAAATCTTAGCCAATTTGATGAATGTGTAGTGTGTACATTATTATGGTTTAAAAATGCATTTTCCTAATAATGAATAATGAGCATCTTTTCATGTGCTTATTTGCCATCTGTATATCTTCGCTGAACTGTTTGCCTAGATCTTTTGTCATTTTAAAAATTAGATTGTTTGTTTTCTTATTTGTCAAGTTTTGAGAATTCCTTTTATATCCTGGATATATTCCTTTATCAGCTATATGTTTTGCAAGGATCTTTTCCTAGTCTGTGGTTTGTCTTTTCATTCTCTTAACAATGTGTTTTGAATAGTGGGAGTTTTTCTTTCTGATGAAATCCAGTTTATCCATTTGTTCATTTATGAATTTTGGTTTTGGTGTTCATATTTAAGAAATCTTTGCCTAGCACAAGGTCACAAAGATTTTCTCCTATGTTTTCTTTTAGAAGGTTTATAGTTTTATGTCTTTCATTTAGATCCATGATTCATTTTGTGTTCTCTTTTATATATGATGCAAGGTAGGAATCCAAGTTCATTTTTTTGTATATGGATATCCAGTTGTTACAGCACCACTTGTTGAAAAGGCTCTATTCTTTTCTACTTCATGCCATTGTGCCTTTGTCAAAATCAGTTCACATATGTGTGTGGGTTTATTCTTGGACTCTGCTCTGTCCCATTGATCTATTGGGTTGTCAGAAAAGTCATGACATATTTCTACTGTTTTTCATTGCAAATATGCGTCATGACTTTACAGCAATTACATGCTATCTTAATTACTTTAGGTTTATAATAGTTCTTGAAATAAGATAGTGTTAGTCTTAAACTACAGTTTTACTAAATGTAGTAAATATTTAAGTCTTGTGGCCAATACATTCTCTGTCACAACTAATCAGCTCTGCCATTGTACCATGAGAATAGCGATAGACAATACATAAATTAATGCACATGATTGTATTGCGGTAAAAATTTATTTACTATAATAAGCAACCTGGCTCACAGGTTGGAGTTTGCTGATTCCTATTATGTGATCATGTTGTTTGCTAATAAAAACAGTTTTACTTCTTTCTTTCCCAGATGAATGCCTTTTGGTGCTTTATCTTGCCTAATTGCACTGGCTAGAACCTCTAGTATAGTGCTGAGTAAGAGTAAAAGCAGTCATCCCTGTCTTGTTCCTGATCCTTTGGGGAAAGAATTCAGTTTTTTACCATTACATGTGATGTTAGCTATAGAATTATCATAGATCTTCATCTTACTGAAGAAGTTTCCTTATATTCCTAGTTTGCTGAAAGTTTTTATCAGGGATAGATGTTGAATTTTGTCAAGTGCCTTTGTTTTCCCCTACTGATACAATTATATGGCTTGTCTTTTTTTAGTTTGTTAATATGGTGAGTAATATTAATTGATTTTTTTTTTTAAGATTTTTATTGGGGACTTAAGGGAAGGGGAACAGACAAGTTGCTGTCCTTTGGTTCTTCAATCTAGTTGTGGAGGATGTCGCTTCCCTGGCCCATGTTGGTATTATCATTGTGCTCTTCCCGGGTGAGGCAGATTGGTCGCCGGCCTCTGGACGGCCGCTCACAGTGGCTCACAGCAGCTCATGGCGGCTCTTGGCAGCTCAAGCTGGCTGCCAGCCACTCACGGTAGCTCATGGCAGTCCACTGCAGCCCCACTGCAGCCTTCGCCATCGCCGGTGACTCATGGCAGCCCAGCTCCAGGTTGAGCAGTTGTTCACCATCTTAGCTGTAGAGGGCGTAGCATCACTGGCCCTCATGTAGGATTTGAACCGGGGCCCTGCTGCTCAGAGCTGGTGCTCCCAAGCCAACTCTTTTTTTTTAATGAGCTGAACCATCCTGCCACCTGTTGGCAGCTCAGCGGCAGCTCAGCTCGGGCCAGGCATCGAACCTCTGTTGCTCAGAGCTCAAACTCTTGAGCAAGCTCTTAACCAACTGAGCTACTCGGCCGGCCCAAGCCAACTCTTAACCAACACGCCGCTCGGCCAGCCCTCCAGGGTCCTTTTCTGTTTTGCTGTCTTCTCTCCAGTGTTCTGACCTATGAGCTCTCTCTGCCTTGGTTTCGCCAGAACCTCGTCAGCTTCATCGCCTAATTTAAGGAGTCGGATGGACTCTACCTCAGTTCCTTCTCCCTGTGAAGTGGCCTGGAAATTCTCTCAAGGCAGTGTGCTGGGACATTCATTAGGGCAACTTCATTTGTTTCAGGAATCATTGTCCTTCATTGCCTGAAGCCCGGTCTTGAAAATAATTTTTTAATGTAATTTGTTTTGTTTTTGCTTGTTTCATGAAGGAAGGTAAATCAGTACTTCTTACTCTTTCTTGCTAGAAGCAGATTTCAGTACAACTTTGGCACATGCTATAGACTGTGCAGAACGCTCTTCTTCCTCCTTTGTCTCATTGCTTCCTGCTCATCCTGCGTTTCTCCGTGTAGCCATGTCTTCCTCAGGGAAGTCTTCCCTGGACCCAATCTAGATCAAGTTCTGTTATGTGATCATAGAACTGTTTTCATATAGTATCTATCAGAATTTATAATTATTTTATTTGTCATTTTCCTCTACTAGACTTTAAGCTAAACAAGAACCAGTCTCTTCTCTCTTTTATCTGCAGAGCTTTGTATAATGTCTTCCACATTGTAGGTACTCAATATATATTTGTTCAATGTATGAATGAGTGAGTGTGAAAATGCAGTCATTTATATGCAAAAAGTACTCATATTTTATTTCTATTTTTTGTTTTCTCTCTGATGTAGATTCTGTTAGCTTGTTGAAAATTCAAGATGCCATTATTTCATATGAAAGATTAATAGAACTTAGAAAAAGTCACTGTGAACTACTTACAGGAAAAATTAAAAAAATGGAAAATAAGGTTAGTGGATTACAAAAGGAGCTATCAGAAACAAAAGAAATGAAATCACAGTTAGAACATCAAAAAGTGGAATGGGAACAAGAACTCTGCAATTTGAGGTATTAAAACATCTTGGTTTTAAAAAAATATTTGAATATTTACTTTTAACCTACAGATATATAGGAGAAGTTTTATAATTGCTAACTTACCTTCTGGTATTTTACAGAGAAGAAAACTTCTTTAGTATTGTGGAATATGAAATTCTTGGAAATAATATAACAAGTTTTTAACAGTGCATACTTCTAGTAATAAGTTAGTGTATATTCTTTCAAATCATTATTTGAATGACCATGTAGAAGTCCACCATGTGGAAATGTCATTATTTAATAAACTGAATTTTGGTTGTTTTTCATTTCTTTATATTATAATTAATGGGACAGGGACTATCTCTTGTATAAACCTGTTTCTACATTTCTGATTATATACTTTAAATAAATTCTTTAATAGGGTATTATTTGGTTAATGTAAAATAACTTTAAAAAAAAAGGTCTTTGAGGGCCAGCTCAGTGGCTCAGTTGGTTAAGAATTGGCTTAAGAGTGTGACCTCTGAGCAACAGGGCCGCTGGTTCGATTCCCACATGGGCCAGAGATGCTGCACCCAAGCGGAGCTGTCGCTGAGCTGCCAACAGGTGGCAGGATGGCTCAGCTGGTGTAACAGCAAGATTGCCTGTTCAATGGTGGGCTATGCCCACCCGCAACTAAGACTGAACTCGTTACCTTGAGCTGAGCTGCCGCCCGAATGGCTCAGTGGGTAGAGCATGTGCTCTTAACAACAAGGCTGGTGGTTCAACTCCCGCATGGGATGGTGGCTACGCCCACCCGCAACTAAGATTGAACACAGCACCTTGAGTTTAGAGGCCACGAGCTGCCATCAGGAAACCAGATGGCGACTGGTGCCCTCCACAATGAAGACTGAACAACAACTTAGCTGGTCCCCTCCTCCAACTCCCCAATACTGTTTCTCTTCCCCAATTCCCCAATAAAATCCTTAAAAAAAAAAAGAAGAAAGCCTCTTCCTGTATTTACAGTTAAAAAAGAAAAGAAGCCTTTGGTCCATATTTCTAAATTGTTCTCAAGAAAGTTCATTTTAATTTACCTTCCCAACAACAGAGTCTAAAATGGCCATTTTTCTCAAGACAGAAAAAATTTCTTAAAAAAATTTGTGCTGTTTTAGTCTAAGTTGATGAATGGTGTGAGAAATGATGGTATGGAAAGTGATGATTATTCAGCATCTTATATAGAGATAAAATTAATTCAAAGGTCTATACTGAAAGCACATATTACTTTTCATTGTTGACTTAGTGTGGATCCTGTCTTGTTCCAAAAGGGATTTTAAAGTGATTTCTAAAATAGATAACAATCAACAAAATAAGCTGAAAGTGTTACAAAAGAGGAAACATAAAAAGTGTAGGGCAACAGATATTAGACTCTCTAGCCTAGTCTTAGATTACAGTAGTCACCAGATATGAATTGTGTATGAGACATTTGCAGATGCTGTCTTACATTGTAAATTTTCAGGAGTACCTGTCATATTTCTGAATATGAAAAAGCTGAAATTTTATTTCTAGTGAATTTATAAACTTGTTTATAAACAACGACTTCTCTTTTTAATTAGTAACTAGATTATCTGTCCTAATGGAGGAGTAAATATGACTATGGATAAAATGATAATTGTCAATGTTACCTTTACCAAATAATTTCAAAATTTCTTTCCTATGATATTTACCAGAGTTACTATTGACTAAAACTTACTAAGTAGCAGAATGTTGTTTTTTTTTTATTTTTAGCTGAGCCATCCTGGCACCTGTTGGCAGCTCAGCGGCTGCTCAGCTCGGGCTGGGACTCGAATTGCTGTTGCTCAGAGCTCAAACTCTTGAGTGAGCTCTTAACCAACTGAGCCACTCGGCCGGCCCCAGAATGTTTTTTTCATTGCTACCTTTCAGGTATATATATGTACCTTTTGGAATAGATTGAAGTGAGAAATTCAAAAAACATGAGACCTAGATAGAAAAAAAATTGAGAACATAGAAATTTCTCTAGGATAATAAACCGACATATGTAGAACCAGATCATAAAATGAACTTTTTATTTTCTAACCAAATGAAATTTAAGATAAGTGTATTTAACTGCAGATTTACCTTACAACAAGAAAAAGAGAAAAGAAGAAATACTGATATGTTATATAAAAAAATTAGGGAGCAGTTAAGAAAAAAGGAAGAGCAATATAGTCAAGAAGTGGACATGAAACAACAACTTGAAATCACTCTTCGAACACTTGATATGGAATTGAAGACTGTAAGAAATAATTTCAATCAGGTAAATTCATCTTTAGAAAAAATTTCATAATTCTAATAGTATTTCACCCATATTTATAATACCCCTTTGATTTAATGTATATTATTTAGGTTTAAAACAAACCAAAATGTTATCTCATTCAAAATATGAACTGTGACATTTATAATTAAAATTATTAATTTATTTCAATTTAGGGCATCTAATAGATGCTCTGGATATGTTTTCTAAATGAAGAAGTGGAAGGTAAATTGAGCTTAATCATCAACACAAATGTTAATTTTGGCTTTTTAAAATGTTAACGTATAGGCTAAATTGTCTTGAGACTGTGATGGAACTAGTCAAATGTTTTGTAAAGAAATGTTATTTCACAATATTATAGCTTCCTGTATTTTTGCTGTATGACAGATTTAGCTCTCATTTAAATTCAAATTTGTGTTTTTCATGGAGGATAAAGATCTTTGTGCTTAAAAAGGCTACTTCCTTTTAACAATTTTTTAAAGGTTCTGCTCTTAAGGTTTTGATTGTTTTTTTTTTTTTAAATAGTATGAGACCAAAAACCTAATGAACTGTATCTCTAGGTTGTGGAAGAACTAAATGACACTCAGAGGCAACTTTCTCGAGAACAAAATGCCAGAATATTACAAGATGGAATTCTGACCAATCTCCTTTGCAAACAAAAGGAGATAGAAACAGCTCATAAGAAAGTGAATTCAGAGGTATTTTGTTTAGTCATTTTCAAATGTGTGTATGTATGTATTTGTGTGTGCATATATTTAAAAAAACAACACTATCCATATGGAATGTATAAAAGATTTTAAAAGCATATACTCGTTATATATAGCATATGCGTGCATGCGTGCGTGCGCGTGTGTGTGTGTGTGTGTGTGTGTGTGTGTGTGTGTGTGTATGTGTATGTATTTTTAGGATGTGGCATTTTTGGTCAATTACACAAAATGATATTTTTTTTTAATAGATTTTATTGGGAAATTGGTGTAGGGGAACAGCATTGGGGAATCGGGGAAGGGGAACAGACAAGTTGCTGTTCTTTTGTTCTTCAGTGTAGTTGTGGAGGACATGGCTTCACTGGCCCATGTTGGTATTATCATTGTGCTCTTCCTGGATGAGGCAGTTGCTCACCAGCCATTGGATGGCTGCTCACAGTGGCTCACGTCTGCTGCCGGTCAGCCCCACTGCAGCCTACGCTATCGCCAGCGACTCATGGCAGCCCAGCTCCAGGTCGAGCTGTTGTTCACCATCTTAGCTATAGAGGGTGCAGCGTCTCTGGCCCTAATGTGGGATCCGAACCGGGGTCCTGCTGCTCAGAGCTGGTGTCCCAAGCCAACTCTTAACCAACGCGCCACTCAGCTGGCCCCACAAAATGATATTCTTAATTCAAATTCATTTGTCTTCAACAGTCAAGTGGTGACATTCACAGTGGCCTCATTCAAAGGGGAGGCTTTTAATATTTTCCATAGGAAGTGATGAGCTTTCCAAAATGTCAAAACTATTGCTACTAACAACAGAGGTTCCATTTTTTGGTAGTGATTTCCTCCGCTTGCTATATCAATACAGAAGTTAGTTTTCATTTCCACTGATGGTAAGGAGGAAAAGTATAGCCAATTCAAGACCATATTTTAGATGTCATTCTCTTCCTTTTGAGAAAAGTAACAATTTGTTCCAAGTAGTATTTTATTTCAGTACCTTTTGAAGACAATGATATGCCATGATCTATACTTAATGATAATTTATTGATAAGTATTTTATTCCTAGTTAAATAGTAAAGTGTATTTTTTTCTATTTCACATTTGATATAACTTTAAACATTATGAAAAGGCAATAAAAGTTATTGCAGCGGCAAAAAATCTCATGATTTTCTAAGAAGAACTCTATAAATTTTACCTTCTTTACCATGAGTTTTTCGAAATGTAAGTCTTCTTTTGTGTTTGTTTATACTGCAGAAGTAGCTGTGGTTTGGTGCAAGAGCACTAATTATAGTCAGAAGACCTGGGGGAAACCCTGAACTTGCTGACCTCCTTTTAACCTCTCCATTCCAGATGGTGATCACTATTTAAATGAGTTCATTGGTGTATACAGAAGTGCTTAATAAATGCCGTCAGTTATTAGTATAGATGTAATTTTTATAACTTACTATGAAATATTAGAAAAGTAGATCTCTATAGAATATTCTCAGAAAATAAGAATTTTAGGAAATATATTCAGGCAGTAAACTAAATTTTAAGTGTAGTGAGATTTATTAATCTTTTATTTTATGCCTCTGGGTTTGCCTTTCCAATTCTGAGACCCTTAAAGATTCTCTTATGATTTCTTTTCTTACTCTCATGAATTGAGCATCTTATATTAATTTTTTACTTTTGAGAATTTTTGCTTATATAAAGGTGGAGGTTTGGATCCAATTTTATTTTTTGCCACTGGAATACCCACTCATTGCAGCCTTTTCATTATATAAACATATAGGTTCTTCTTTAACTTCAGAGGATATCATTATGTATCATTTCATTGAGTGCTAAACTACATGTCTCCATTGTTTTACTTAGGTATCTGAGAGTCCTGAAAAAGATTTGGTGCATGAAAACCGCATGTTGCAGGATGAAATTGCCATGCTGAGACTGGAAATAGACACCGTAAAAAATCAGAACCAGGAAATGGAAAAAAAATACATGGAGGACATTGCAATTGTAAAAGAAAAGAATGACCATCTTCAAAAGACAATCAAACTGAATGAGGAAACACTAACAAAAACAATATTTCAATATAATGGACAAGTTAATGTTCTGACAGCTGAGAATACAATGCTAACCTCTAAACTGGAGAGTGAAAAACAAAACAAAGAAAGACTGGAAACAGAAGTTGAATCCTACCGATCTAGACTGGCTGCTGCTATCCATGATCATGAGCAAAGTCAGACATCTAGAAGAGACCTAGAACTTGCTTTTCAGAGAGCAAGAGATGAATGGTTTCGTTTCCGAGACAAGATGAATTTTGACATGTCTACCCTAAAGGATAACAATGAGGTTCTTTCTCAACAACTCTCTAAAGCTGAAAGTAAGTTCAGTAGCCTAGAAGTAGAGCTTCATCACACGAGAGATGCTCTCAGAGAAAGGACTTTAGTTTTAGAACATGTGCAAAGAGACCTAAGCCAAACACAGTGTAAAAAGAAGGAAATTGAACACATGTATCAAAATGAGCAAGATAAAGTGAATAAATACATTGGAAAGCAGGAATCCCTAGAGGAGAGATTTTCTCACCTACAAAGTGAAAATGTGTTGCTACGACAGCAACTGGATGATGCTCACAACAAAAGCGACAATAAAGAAAAGACAGTAATTAATATCCAAGACCAGTTTCAGGATATCATAAAAATACTTCGAGCTGAAAGTGAAAAACAAAGTCGTATGCTAGAAGAAAGAAATAAGGAGTTAATCAAAGAATGTAATCATTTAAAAGAAAGAATGTATCAGTATGAAAACGATAAAGCAGAAAGAGAAGTAAGTACCCAGAAAGAAATAATTTTCAAATTTCCTGAAAGAAAATTCAAAGTAAAATTGGATGTTGGCTAAATGTTAAATCTAGTTGAATATTAAAAAATGTAGACTATAAATGTATTTGCTTCATCAGCTTAAAAGCAGACATTATGTCCAAATAAAAATTAGATCTGAGTGCTGCTTTACTTTGAGTGAAGATGTTGTATTGCCTATGACATTTTAAGTTAATAGATATAGATTGATGGTAATAATTTAGTCTTATACTGCTAAAATAATAATTTTAATCGTTCTTTTTGTCACATTGTAGTACCATTATGAAGCAGATAAATGGAAATGCTCATACCTAAAATGAGTGTTTTGAAATTAAGATTCAATTTAGTGGATCACCTAGACAGTTAATTGCAGATCTCCCAGGTGAACCGAAATGTAGATGCTGCCCCTCAATAGCACCTTTCTTTCAGTAGCTTCATATGCATTTTAATTGGTATAATTATTTTTTTATTTATGTCAATTTGATTTAAATTTGGAAATATTTCAGTCTCAAATAATGTATTCTTATGGCCTCTCAACTCCTTAAAAGTAGCTACTTTTCATTAAATCATAATTTGGGACAAATGTGAATGAGTTTTAGCAAAACTGTACTTGATTTAATTTTCCCACTGCGACATATAGTTTACTTTGAATAATTATATGAATAATTTGTTCATATTTCTCATCCCAAGGCCCAGGTGCTATCATTTGGACATAAGTTTGTGCAAGTCAAAGAGAATTGTAGCTGTCTGTGATTTATGAATTTGGTATTGGATCTCCATTTTCAGATGAGTGAGGGGTGGCAGGATTCATATGTAGCAGGGAGGGTGGTCGAGGCCAGGTGACGTGGTTGCCCTGGAGGCCATTGGAATGAGTTCACTTTTCTTGTAAGATATAGGAGTC